GACAGGCTGCAGGAGGAGACGCTGGGTGACAGGCTGCAGGAGGAGACGCTGGGCGAAAGGCTGCAGGAGGAGCTGCTGAGTGACAGGCTGCAGGAGGAGACCCTGGGTGACAGGCTGCAGGAGGAGACCCTGGGCGACATGTTGCAGGAGGAGACGCTGGGCGACAGGCTGCAGGAGGAGCTGTTGAGTGACAGGCTGCAGGAGGAGACGCTGGGCGACAGGCTGCAGGAGGAGCTGTTGAGTGACAGGCTGCAGGAGGAGACGCTGGGCGACAGGCTGCAGGAGGAGACGCTGGGTGACAGACTGCAGGAGGAGACACTGGGCGACAGGCTGCAGGAGGAGACGCTGGGCGACAGGCTGCAGGAGGACTCAGATTCAGAGATGAAGGAGGAGATCAGTTGGGAGGTGGAGTTTGACGAGGACTATCTGAGGGAGGTGGAGAAGGAGCTGACAGAGGAGGAGAAGGAGGTGACTCCTGTTTACATCACTGCTTGTTTGTTTTAACCAACAGAGAATCAGCTTATTCAGAGTACTGCAGGAGTAAACAAACAAACAAACACCACAACATGTCCTCATAAACCACATAAACCAGAACCAGGTCTTAATAAATCAGGACTCTGGGGGGATGTGAGGCACTCAGTCTGTGTTACTGTCAAGTGTACAACAGGGCGTTCAGGTGTAGAGTGAGGCATTCAGGTGTAGAGTGAGGCGTTCAGGTGAGGCGTTCAGGTGTAGAGTGAGGCATTCAGGTATAGAGGGGCGGTCAGGTGTAGAAAGAGGCGTTCACGTGTAGAACGAGATGTTCAGGTGTAGAGTGAGGTGTTCAGGTGTAGAACGAGATTTTGAGGTGTAGAGTGAGGCGCTCAGGTGTAGAAAGAGGCGTTCAGGTGTAGAATGAGATGTTCAGGTGTGGAATGAGGCGTTCAGGTGTAGAGTGAGGCGTTCAGGTGTAGAACGAGACAGTCAGGTGTAGAACGAGGCATTTCTTCAGGTGTAGAAAGAGGCGTTCAGGTGTAGAAGGAAGCGTTCAGGTGTAGAAAGAGGCGTTCAGGTGTAGAATGAGATGTTCAGGAGTAGAACGAAGCCTTCAGGTGTAGAGTGAGGAGTTCAGGTATAGAAGGAGGCGTTCAGGTGTAGAACGAGTTGTTAAGGTGTAGAGTAAAGCGCTCAGGTGTAGAGTGAGGTGTTCAGGTATAGAACAAGATGTTCAGGTGTAGAAGGAGGTGTTCAGGTGTAGAACAAGATGTTCAGCTATCGAGTAAAGCGTTCAGGTGTAGAAGGAGGCGTTCAGGTATAGAACAAGATGTTCAAGTGTAGAGTAAAGTGTTCAGATGTGGAAGGAGGCGTTCAGGTGTAGAAGGAGGCGTTCAGGTATAGAACAAGATGTTCAGGTGTAGAGTGAGGCGTTCAGGTGTAGAACGAGATGTTCGGGTGTAGAGTGAGGCGTTCAGGTATAGAGGGGCATTCAGGTGTAGAAAGAGGCATTCAGGTGTAGAACGAGATGTTCAGGTGTAGAGTGAGGCGTTCAGGTGTAGAACGAGATTTTTAGGTGTAGAACGAAGCGTTCAGGTGTAGAGTGAGGCGTTCAGGTATAGAAGGAGGCGTTCAGATGTAGAACGAGTTAAGGTGAAGAGTAAAGCGCTCAGGTGTGGAAGGAGGCGTTCTGGTATAGAACAAAATGTTCAGGTGTAGAGTAAAGCGTTCAGGTGTAGAAGGAGGCGTTCAGGTATAGAACAAGATGTTCAGCTATCGAGTAAAGCGTTCAGGTGTAGAAGGAGGCGTTCAGGTATAGAACAAGATGTTCAGCTGTAGAGTAAAGCGTCCAGGTGTAGAAGGAGGCATTCAGGTGTAGAACAAGATGTTCAGGTGTAGGGTGAGGCGTTCAGGTGTAGAACGAGATTTTCAGGTGTAGAGTGAGGCGTTCAGGTATAGAGGGGCGTTCAGGTGTAGAACGAGATGTTCAGGTGTAGAATGAGGCGTTCAATGAGGCATTCAGGTGTAGAATGAGGTGTTCAGGTGTAGAACGAGATGTTCAGGTGTAGAGTGAGGCGTTCAGGTATAGAGGAGCATTCAGGTGTAGAACGAGATGTTCAGATGTAGAGTGAGGCGTTCAGGTGTAGAACGAGATTTTCAGGTGTAGAGTGAGGCGTTCAGGTATAGAGGGGCGTTCAGGTGTAGAGAGAGGCATTCAGGTGTAAAATGAGATGTTCAGGAGTAGAACGAAGCGTTCAGGTGTAGAGTAAAGCGCTCAGGTGTGGAAGGAGGCATTCAGGTATAGAACAAGATGTTCAGGTGTAGAATAAAGCGTTCAGGTGTAGAAGGAGGCATTCAGGTGTAGAACAAGATGTTCAGCTATCAAGTAAAGTGTTCAGGTGTAGAAGGAGGCATTCAGATATAGAACAAGATGTTCAGGTGTAGAGTAAAGCGTTCAGGTGTAGAAGGAGGCATTCAGGTGTAGAACAAGATGTTCAGGTGTAGAATAAAGCGTTCAGGTGTACAACGGGGTGTTCGGGTGTAGAACGAGGCGTTTAGATGTAGAACGAGGTGTTTAGGTGTACAACGGGGCGTTCAGGTGTAGAACGAGGCGTTCAGGTGTACAACGGGGTGGTCAGGTGTAGAACGAGATGTTCAGGTGTAGAATGAGGCGTTCAATGAGGCATTCAGGTGTAGAGTGAGGTGTTCAGGTGTAGAACGAGATGTTCAGGTGTAGAGTGAGGCGTTCAGGTATAGAGGAGCATTCAGGTGTAGAAAGATGCATTCAGGTGTAGAACGAGATGTTCAGCTGTAGAGTGAGGCGTTCAGGTATAGAGGGGCGTTCAGGTGTAGAAAGAGGCATTCAGGTGTAGAACGAGATGTTCAGGTGTAGAGTGAGGTGTTCAGGTGTAGAATGAGATTTTCAGGTGTAGAGTGAGGCGTTCAGGTATAGAGGGGCGTTCAGGTGTAGAAAGAGGCATTCAGGTGTAGAACGAGATGTTCAGGTGTAGAGTGAGGCGTTCAGGTGTAGAACGAGATTTTCAGGTGTAGAGTGAGGCGTTCAGGTATAGAGGGGCGTTCAGGTGTAGAAAGAGGCATTCAGGTGTAGAACGAGATGTTCAGGTGTAGAGTGAGGCGTTCAGGTGTAGAATGAGATTTTCAGGTGTAGAGTGAGGCGTTCAGGTATAGAGGGGCGTTCAGGTGTAGAAAGAGGCATTCAGCTGTAGAACGAGATGTTCAGGTGTAGAACGAGGCGTTAAGGTGTAGAACAAAGCGTTCAGGTGTAGAGTGAGGCGTTCAGGTGTAAAAAGAGGCGTTCAGGTGTAAAATAAGATGTTCAGGAGTAGAACGAAGCGTTCAGGTGTAGAGTGAGGCTTTCAGGTATAGAAGGAGGCGTTCAGGTGTAGAACGAGTTGTTAAGGTGTAGAGTAAAGCGCTCAGGTGTACAACGGGGCGTTCGGGTGTAGAACGAGGCGTTAAGGTCTAGCACGAGGTGTTTAGGTGTACAACGGGGCGTTCAGGTGTAGAACGAGGCGTTCAGGTGTACAACGGGGCGTTCAGGTGTAGAACGAGATGTTCAGGTTTAGAGTGAGGCGTTCAGGTATAGAGGGGCGTTCAGGTGTAGAAAGAGGCATTCAGGTGTAGAGCGAGATGTTCAGGTGTAGAGTGAGGCGTTCAGGTGTAGAAAAAGGCGTTCAGGTGTAGAACAAGACAGTCAGGTGTAGAACGATGCATTCAGGTGTAGAACAAGGCGGTCAGGTGTAGAGTGAGGCGTTTAGGTGTAGAAGGAAGCATTCAGGTGTAGAACAAGATGTTCAGGTGTACAACGGGGCGTTCAGGTGTAGAACGAGGCGTTAAGGTGTAGAATGAGGTGTTTAGGTGTACAACGGGCGTTCAGGTATAGAACAAGATCTTCAGGTGTAGAGTGAGGCGTTTAGGTGTAGCGTGAAGTGTTCAGGTGTAGAACGAAATGTTCAGGTTTAGAACGAGGCTTTCAGATGTAGAAAGAGGCGTTCAGGTGTAGAACGAGATGTTAAGGTGTAGAGTAAGGCGCTCAGGTGTAGAAGGAGGCATTCAGGTGTAGAACAAGATGTTCAGGTGTAGAAGGAGGCGTTCAGGTATAGAACAAGATGTTCAGGTGTAGAGTAAAGCGTTCAGGTGTAGAAGGAGGCATTCAGGTATAGAACAAGATGTTCAGGGGTGTAGAGTAAAGCGTTCAGGTGTACAACGGGGTGTTCAGGTGTACAACGGGGTGTTCAGGTGTAGAACGAGATGTTCAGGTGTAGAATAAGGCGTTCAATGAGGCATTCAGGTGTAGAGTGAGGTGTTCAGGTGTAGAACGAGATGTTCAGGTGTAGAGTGAGGCGTTCAGGTATAGAGGGGCGTTCAGGTGTAGAAAGAGGCATTCAGGTGTAGAACGAGATGTTCAGGTGTAGAACGAGGCGTTAAGGTGTAGAACAAAACGTTCAGGTGTAGAGTGAGGCGTTCAGGTGTAGAAAGAGGCGTTCAGGTGTAGAAGGAAGCGTTCAGGTGTAGAGTGAGGCTTTCAGGTATAGAAGGAGGCGTTCAGATGTAGAACAAGTTGTTAAGGTGTAGAGTAAAGCGCTCAGGTGTACAACGGGGCGTTCGGGTGTAGAACGAGGCGTTAAGGTGTAGAACGAGGCGTTCAGGTGTACAACGGGGCGTTCAGGTGTAGAACGAGATGTTCAGGTGTAGAATGAGGCGTTCAATGAGGCATTCAGGTGTAGAGTGAGGTGTTCAGGTGTAGAACGAGATGTTCAGGTGTAGAGTGAGGTGTTCAGGTATAGAGGGGCATTCAGGTGTAGAAAGAGGCATTCAGATGTAGAACGAGGCGTTAAGGTGTAGCACGAGGTGTTTAGGTGTACATCGGGGCGTTCAGGTGTAGAACGAGGCGTTCAGGTGTACAACGGGGCGTTCAGGTGTAGAACGAGATGTTCAGGTGTAGAATGAGGCGTTCAATGAGGCGTTCAGGTGTAGAAAGAGGCATTCAGGTGTAGAGCGAGATGTTCAGGTGTAGAGTGAGGCGTTCAGGTGTAGAAAAAGGCATTCAGGTGTAGAACAAGACAGTCAGGTGTAGAACGAGGCATTCAGGTGTAGAACAAGGCGGTCAGGTGTAGAGTGAGGCGCTCAGGTGTAGAAGGAAGCGTTCAGGTGTAGAGTGAGGCGTTTAGGTGTAGAGTGAGGCGCTCAGGTGTAGAAGGAAGCGTTCAGGTGTAGAACAAGATGTTCAGGTATAGAACAAGATGTTCAGGTGTAGAGTGAGACATTCAGGTGTAGCGTGAAGTGTTCAGGTGTAGAAGGAAATGTTCAGGTTTAGAACGAGGCTTTCAGATGTAGAAAGAGGCGTTCAGGTGTACAACTAGATGTTCAGGTGTAGAAGGAGGCATTCATGTATAGAGTGAGGCGTTCAAGTGTAGAACGAGATGTTAAGGTGTAGAGTAATGCGCTCAGGTGTAGAAGGAGGCGTTCAGGTATAGAGTGAGGTGTTCAGGTGTAGAACGAGATGTTCAGGTGTAGAAAGAGGCATTCAGGTGTAGAAAGAGGCGTTCAGGTGTAGAACGAGATGTTAAGGTGTAGAGTGAGGCATTCAGGTGTAGAAAGAGGCGTTCAGGTGTAGAACGAGATGTTCAGGTGTAGAACGAGATGTTAAGGTGTAGAGTGAGGCATTCAGGTGTAGACCGAGGCGTTCAGGTGTAGAGTGAGGCGCTCAGGTGTAGAACGAGATGTTCAGGTGTAGAGTGAGGCGTTCAGGTGTAGAACGAGATGTTCAGGTGTAGAGTGAGGCGTTCAGGTGTAGAATGAAGCGTTCAGGTATTGACTGTGAGTCTTTTAATCAGATGTTTGTTGTGTTTCAGAGTCGACGGCAGCAGAGTTTAACTCTGAAGGAAAAAGGAAACAGTCAGTTTAAAGCTGGAGGTGAGTGACATCATCATCATCGCTTTGTTCAGTGAATAAACCAGTACAAACCTGTACAAACCAGCATAATCTCTTGTGCCTGTAGAGTGGCGGGAGGCGGAGTGCAGCTACACGGAGGCATTGGTTTTATGTCCAGTTTGTTTCAGCAAAGAGAGATCGGTGCTGTTTTCCAACAGAGCTGCTGCAAGGCTGCATCTGGTAACTAGCAAGATGCTAATAGCATGCTAACAACATGGTAACTGACAGGCTATCAACACTGTGGCTAACAACATGCTAACTGTCTATTCCTGTCAGGATCTGAAGGATCAGGCAATCTCAGACTGCACCTCAGGTGAGTGATGACATCATTCTTTACCTGTACAGTAGCAGAGGATCTCTGATTGGTGTCTGTGCTGATTGGCTGTCTGTGGTTCCCGCAGCAATAAAGTTGAATCCAGAATATGTGCGGGCGTTGCTGAGGAGGGCAGAGCTTTACGAGCAGACAGAGAAGCTGGACGAGGCTCTGGAGGACTACAAGAAGGTCCTGGACCTGGACCCAACCCAGACCAGTGCCAGACAGGCCTGCATGGTGAGTTCACTGATCGCTAGGATAAACCAGACAGACTCTCTGACAGACAGACTCTCTCTGACAGACAGACCCTCTCTCTCTCTGACAGACAGACTCTCTGACAGACTCTCTGACAGACAGACTCTCTCTGACAGACAGACTCTCTGACAGACAGACTCTCTCTGACAGACAGGCTCTGTGACAGACAGACAGACTCTCTCTGACAGACAGGCTCTCTCTGACAGACAGACTCTCTGACAGACAGACTCTCTCTGACAGACAGGCTCTCTGACAGACAGACTCTGTGACAGACAGACTCTCTGACAGACAGACTCTCTCTGACAGACAGACTCTCTGACAGACAGACTCTCTCTGACAGACAGACTCTCT